TGCCGCGCTGCGAGGCGGGCGGGCGCTGCACCGTCACCTGGTACGTGTCGTCCAGCCCCTGCGTGAGCTGCGCCCAGCGCATCGCCGACACCCTGCGCGGGAACAGGGCCCTGCGCCTCACCATCATGGTGGGCCGGCTCTTCATGTGGGACGAGCCCGAGGTGCAGGCCGCGCTCCGCAGCATGAAGGAGGCCGGCTGCAAGCTCAGGATCATGAAGCCTCAAGACTTTGAGTATGTCTGGCAGAACTTTGTGGAGCAGGAGGAAGGGGAGGAGGTGAAGTCGTTCGTGCCGTGGGAGGACATTCAGGAGAACTTCCAGTACTACGAGGAAAAGCTGGCTGAGATCCTGCACTGAGCTCACGTGAGTGAGGATTCCCACGTGGTCGCTCACCCCCGGGTTAAATTAACTCTGTCCTCTTATTAACCCAGAGCCAATTTCAGCCACAGTCACTCAGATGGACCTGGCTGGGTTCACCTGTACCTGAACACTGAGAATAACCTCAGGCAGTAACTTTCCCCTTCCAGGGCAGGAACATGGCAGGAGCTCCCCCCAGCAGATTCCTAAGGGATTTAGAGCTTTTCTTTTTTCTCCTCCGAGCAAACACCTCCAGGAATAAAGAATTAAAAGGTATTTGAGTCACGAGGTGCCACCAGAACACCTGGTTTTCCCCACATGGATTATATGCAGGACACAGGTGGAAACAGGGAGAGGAATGTAGTGAAAAGGGGATTTTCCTCACCCCACAAAGTCTAACCCCCCAAAAAAGCACCATTAAAGGAAATCACAATTGCAATTGCAAAATTCCCTGGGTTTTTGGATGGGGTACTAAAGAGTCACCTATTTGAGCATGAAACACAAAGCATTTAAAACTTCTAATATGTATCTCTTCATCCAGGACCTACTCAGAGATCTATGAAGAGAAGTGACAGACCTGGACACCCGGGACACTCCACTTCCCAAAGCTTTGACTCCAGCAGGATGGAGAACCAGCTTCTGGAAGACAAAGCCCTGTGGGACTATGAACACAGACCTTTGGTGTTTGGGATTTTTTTGGGTGTATTTTGTTCCTCCCCCTCCCTGCCCCAACCAAACCCATGCTGTGGTGAAAGGGATGGCAGTGACCTACAGGACAGGCTGTGGGATCACATTCTGGGAATACTTCATGGGAAAAGATCTTAGAACAAAGATGCTGGTTAGATAAATACATTAGAAAGTCTGTACTTCACAAATGGGAAAAAGAAAGAGGTTTTCTCCCTCTGTTCTTCCCAACAGTCAGAGCTGTGATTTAATTCAGAGCCAACAGCTCTGCTTTAAGTTGTGATGGAGCCCAACAACTTGATTTCAAACACATCAAACACCTTCTCCCCTTGTGCAATAATATTTGGGATATAAAACTGGGAAAAGCAAAGCAAAATAAAATGGGAAGTCACTGCAAAAGCCAAAGCCCTGTTTATTCCTTCTTCTCTACTTGCAAGAAGTCCTAAATTGAACCTGCTTTCCAACTGTTATGTCCCATTTTTACATTTATTCAGCACACCTGGCACTTTTCTGGGCATTCAGTATGAGAAGTGAAAAGGATTTGTTATTGTGGGAGGGTGGGAAACCAAACATGAAGGAAATGGGGAGTCTAGTTTCAGAACTGAGCAACTGTCACAAACTTTCCAGAACCGGGTGTTTTCCAACAATCTGATGAACGAGGGGTGTTACTGATTTACCTCTGCTGTGGGTGACGAGCTCCAACCTATGTGTAACACCTGAACTACAGATGCAGTGAACAAAGAAACGTGAAGATCCAACTTCAAACTCCACACTGGGAGTTTTTCAGAGCACAAGTCATTCCCACGTTCGGATTCCCCAAAAACTCAGCTCTGCAGACTATAAATTATATAGATATTGTATAAAACACACCCCCAAGGGGTATTTACACATTTCCAGCTTTCCCCCAGAAGAGCCACAGGGATGAGCTCTGATCCAACAGCAGGGCACCATTTATTTAACATCACAGCATGATCCTTAGTGAACACAAAACCATCAAACCCTATTTGTGGCTAGAAGGGAGAAATTAAACTGTTACACCTGTGAGAACAGGTGAAGTGAACGAGTGCCGGGTAGGACATTGCAAAACTTGAACAGCAGTGACAGGGCTCCCTGGGGCAGCTCCTCAGCACCGACCCCAACGAGAAACCAAAACCCAAACAACTCCCCCGGCGGCAGCAGCTCCGTTCAGCTGCCCAGGAGCTGCGTGGAGGCCCAGTGACACCTGGTGGCTGCTGGGACAGACTGGGAACACCTCGAGGGTTTCCACAACACCGCTGCTGCCTTCTAGTTAACACCCAAATTAACTCCTCTGGAGCTTGTTGCTGCTGGAAGCCTCTGTCACTGTCCCACGGGTGAGTGACCCCGACGCAGAACGTGCTCCCCAGGCAGGCCCCCCTTGGCAGTTCACAGCTTCCACTCCCAAAAGTGGGGGAAAAGGGGCTCTTTGACTCTTCTGCTCACAGGCTGTAAACTGTGATCTTGATGTCAGTGTTCTCAAACACTTCCCCAAGGATCGCTGAAACTTTATCCCACTGCAGGCCATCAAGTCCACATCCAATCCTGGAAGATAAGACATCCCAAGAGCTGGAATGGCCTCGTGCTGTGCCCAACCAGCCCTTGGAGCAGCTGCAGTTTGAAATGGCCCCAGCTCAGCTCCCCATAAACCAACAGAACACAGTGAGAACAAGGAAACAACTTGAATTTGTTCTGTTGGTACTGAAGTGCACCGAGAAATGCAAATTTCATCTGCCCAGTTGAACAGAGGAGTTGGATAGGGGTGCATACTTGAATTCTTTCACAGCAGGGGCTCATCCTGAAACATCTTTCTAGGCACGAAACACCCAAGTAGTGCCATCCCAGTCCCTGGTTCCCTCACCTGGGCATGGAGATGTCCGTGACCCCGTTGTGCAGGCAGTGAGCTCTCATGGCTTCCAAGCTCTTCCTCATGCTCTCGTACGTTGGTTTGTGAGACACCTTCTGCTTTGTGATCTGTGTCACAACACAAAAGGTCAGCTGAGCCTTTGGCACGACCACTGCAGACTACTGCCTGTTATAGAACATATTCCATGACATTCTCAAAATGCCTACCCAGATTTGCTACTGTGGAAAGACTTGAACAAAGCACTACGTTCACAGCTTAAAATACTCTAATTCAGCAGCCAGTTCTGTCCATGTAAAGGTTAAATGTACATGCACAGGAACAGCCTGGCTGCTCCTCAACCAGCAGTGTTTGAGTAACACATCTCACACCTCTTGCTGAGACAACCTTTGCAGAAACTCCCTTCCTGTGCCTGAAGGGAGCCCACAAGAAAGATGGAGAGAGATTTTTTACAAGGGCCTGGAGTGACAGGACAAGGGGGAATGGCCTCACGCTGACAGAGGGCAGGGTTAGGTGGGATATTGGGAAAAAATCCACAGGTTGCTCAGGAAAGCTGTGGCTGTCTTATCCCTGGAAGTGTTCAAGGCCTGGTTGGACAGGGCTTGGAGCAAGCTGGGATAGTGGAAGGTGTTCCTGCCCATGGCAGATGCTGGGACTGGATGAACTTTAAGGTCCTTTCCAACCCAAACCATTCCAGGATTCCATGATTCCATGAACATGACCAAAAACCCCACAGATATTAAAGACTTCATGATATTGGATACTACAGTTTTTCTACGGAAAGGTGCCCCAGGGACATCCCAACTCTTACCAGGTAGTAAATGTATCTGTCATCTCTCTGCAGAACAGCCACCTCCCCTGTCTTCTTCTCTGTGAGCAGAAATCACAGCACGTTCAAAACACCCACACCCACTCCACGAGCAGCTTGGAGCAGCACCCCTCCCTGCAGCTCCTGCAGGTACCACTCACTTTGGTCCAGCAGCTCCTGGACGCCTCCGAACTTCTTCTTGAAGAGCACGGCGATGCCGGCGCCCATGCGGCAGTCCTCGCTGATGCAGTGCGCCAGCGCGTCCGACGGCGGGCACGAGAACAGGTCCCCCTTCACCTCCCGCAGCTGGCACAGTCAGCAAAGAGAGCAGAGACAGCACAGGTGGGCACAGAATGCCCTGGGCACAGGGAACGTGCCCAGCCTGCACAGGCTTTGACACGCGCTTCACTGACAGACGAGCCGGCACGGATTACAAACCCCACACAGAGGATTTCAAACTCCATGCACAGAATGACAAGCCCCACACATAGAATTACAAACCCTGTACACATAATTACAAACCAGGTAACTAACTGCACAGGTAACTAACTATCTTTACTACAAGATCACTTACGGGTATCACATGCCAGCCTGGCAGTTAATCTTACAAAATCAAAGCTTAAAAGGAGAATTATGTGATACGGCACAGCTGGATCAGTGCACACCCCCTGGTACCACCAGTGTGTCAGTGCTGGGTGTCTGGGCAGCAGGGTGAGCTCTCTGCTGTTGTGCAGCATCCTCACCACTGACAGAAGTACAAAAGCACAGGAAAATCTGCACTAGCAGCCACTTTGTCCCCCAAAGCTGCAGGATGCAGCCAGTGCCCTGCTGTTGGGGCTGCAATCGCGGGAAGGCCTCTTTGCAGAGACACGTGTCACAGCAATATCCCACGTAACCCATTTCCTACGCACTCTCTCCTCCTGATCCTTGGAGAAGTGGGTGGCCATGGTAACGTGGGGGATGGAGAAGGCTCCTGCGGCTGGAAAGATGAGAGAAAAACAGTTGTTAGGAACGCCAAGGCTGGCAGCAGGCTGGTGTAGAGGGTGCAAGGCTAAGCTGATGTATCTGAAACAGCTCAAGGGGAGGCCGGTACACCTAGGGAGGCCTGTGCAGGCCTGTGCGCCTGCT